TTAATCTTCACCAAAAAAACTAAGGCATGGATGCTATTACCATCCTTATTTTATAGTTGTGTAAATGAGGTCCAGATGGATCAAGTAACAAGCTTTGACAAATGGTATCATATCAAGTTAAAAAGCTTCTGCACAGAAACAATCAACATAGTGAAGAGACAGCCCACAGCATGGGAGAAAATATTTGCAAACTACCCATCTGACAAGAGATTAATAATCAGAAAATAAAAGAAAGTCCAACAACTCTATAGGAAAAAACCTGGCCTGGCAAGGTGGTTCGCGCCTTTGATTCTGGCACTTTGGGAAGCTGAGGCAGGTGAATCACTTGAGGCCAGGAGTTCAAGACCAGCCTGGGAAACATGGTGAAACCCCATCTCAACAAAAAATTAGCTGGGCATGGAGCCATGTGCCTGTGACCCCAGCTACTTGGGAGGCTGAGGTGGGAAGATCGCAGTGAGCCATGATTGAGCCACCACACTCCAGCCTGGGTGACAGAGTGAGACCCTGTCTAAAAAAAGGTAAAAAATATAAATTTATAATAATCCACTCAAAATGGACAAAAGGTTTGACTAGACATTCCTTAAAAGAAGACATACACTGGGCGCGGTGGATCACGCCTGTAATCCCAGCACTTTGGGAGGCCTAGATGGGTGGATCACGAGGTCAGGAGTTCAAGACCAGCCTGACCAATATAGTAAAATCCCGTCTCTATAAAAAATCTTAAAAAAATTTTTTTAAAAAGAAGACATACAAAGAGCAAACAGGCATATGAAAGGTATTGAACATCTCTGATCATCGGAGAAGTGAAAATCAAAACTGCAATGAGATATCATCTCAACCCAGTTAAGATGGCTTATATTCAAAAGACAGGCAATAAGAAATGCTGGCGAGGATGTACAGAAAAAGGACCCTTCATACATTGTTGATGGGAATGTACATTAGTACAACCACTATGGAGAACAGTTTGGAGGTTCCTCAAAAAACAAAAAACAAAAAATATGATTCAGCAATCCCACTGCTGGGTATATAGCCAAAAGAAGCAAATCAGAACATCAAAGAACGATCTGCACTCCTGTTTGTTGCAGCACTGTTCACAATAGCCAAGATTTAGAAGCAACCTAAGTGTCCATCAGCAGATGAATGGATCAAGAAAAAATGTGGTACCTATCACAATGGAGTACTATTCAGCCATAAACAAGAATGAGATCCTGCTGTTTGCAACAATGTGATAGAATTGGAGGTCATCATGTTAACTGAAATAAGCCAGACATAGGAAGACAAACATCACACATTCTCACTTTATTTGTGAGATCTAAAAATCGAAACAGTTGAACTCATGGAGATAGTAGAAGGATAGTTTCCAGAGGCTGGGAAGTCTGTTTTGGGTTGGGGGGGATGTGGTAGGGTGGGGGAAGGTGGGGATGTGCATATATATATATATATATGCATTTCAAACACACACACTAGTTCCTGGCACGTAGCAAGTTCCTAAGAAATGTGATTGATACTGGTACATGATTTGTATCCTTGGTGATGATGGTTGGGATCCTTGTGTCACTATGAATATGTCATTCACTCTCATTATTAATGTGTACAAAAAAGTTAGAAAGAATGGGTAAGACCTAGTATATGATAGCACAACAGTGTGACTGTAGTCAATAATAATTTAACTGTGCATTTCAAAATAACTAGAAAAGTATAATTGGATTGTTTGTAACACAAAGGATAAATGCCTGAGGGGACAGATAATCCATTTGTCATAATGTGATTATTACACATTGCATGCCTATATCAAAACATCTAATATACCCCATAAGTATATATACCTACTACGGACCTACAAACATTAAAAATTTTAAATATATCTATATATGTAACAAGCCTCAGTTTACACAGCTGACAAGGTGCAGAGCAGCAGTTCAAACACAGGCGTATCAGACTTTGGAGCTCAGTCACCGTTCTCCTAACCTGCCAGAAAATTCAGTCCCTGGCATCAGATAAACTGACTTTTGGCTGTCACCTAGTTAATGATAATAATAACTTATTAGATCTTGCTTTTTGAATTCTTAGATCTTGCTTTTCTGAGGACTGCGCCTTTTCTCAAGCCTCGGGTCCTCATCTGTGAATACAGGATAACAGTAGTGCCTAGCTCCCAGGACGGTCACGTGCAGCCGTAAAGTGCTTAATAAACCTTGGCTGTTATGTTACTTATCATTCTTCCAGATTTTTTCTGAGAAGTCATGCAAAACAGGAATACAGATTGCAAAAAAAGATGCTAAGCAGGAAGGCACTAAAGGAAGCCTTTCTCCAAAGGGGATGTTTATTTCTGAGGGGGCGGGGAGCTCAACCAGCTGTTTTCCAGGAAATTGTCCATTTAACCCAGGGTTTAATGACTAGCCAGTGTCGAAGGACGGAAAAGAGAAGAAAACAAACAAGGATGATGTAAAAATCCAACCGCACACTGCATAAACTCTGTGGTCTCCAAGATTGAATTAGAATCCTGAGCATTTTCCATCCCTCCAATATGGAGGGAAGGAATCAAAACCATCACCCATATTCTACTGGTAGCTGAAAAAGGAGTTAAATCAGAGTAAACATCAGAAACCAGAATCCTGGAATCAGTAAGATGTAAATGATTAATCCATACCCAGGGGCTGAGGCCTTTGCCTCTGCAGTTTCTTCTGACTTAAATTTTCTCCCCAGTCCCCACCCCTGTACCTCTTCCCTGCACCATCACAACCTTTCATCTCAGTTCAAATGTCACCTCCTCAGAGAAGCCCTCCCAGTTCTCAAATGGAACTACACTTGAGAGTTCTTGACTTTTCCTTGCCGGCAGTACCAAGTTTGTGATTAAACTTTTCTATGATTGTTTGATCAGAGGCTTTTCCCCAAGCAGACTGCCAGATTCAGGTGGTCAGAGGTCTCGTCACCGCTGTAGATCAGAGATTTCATTCACCACTGTAGATCAGGGTAGATCAGTTCCAGACTTACAACAGACACTCTATATATCTTCGTTAATTGAGTGAGTTTGAAGTTTAGTAAATTTCCTTTAATTATCATTTATTCATTCACTGGATGAGGACCTAGATTCATAGTGTATGCTGTTCAACAGTGAACACCATCATTGTTCATTCAATTAGCAAATGTCTATCAGTGCTTAATACGAGATTACCGCAGTGACAAAAAGAGATAAATGCACACCCACATGGAACTTACATTGTAGTGGGAGAAGAGCATCAACAAATAATAAAAACGACACACATCTGAGGAGTCAGAAGTGCTCTGGAGAAAAAGTAAAGGAGAGAGATGGGGAAAACCAAGTGTATAAGGGGGCATTTAAAAACAAAACAAAAAAAAAAAACAGGGTCTTACTCTGCTACCCAGGCTGGAATGCAGTGACACTATAAAAGCTTGCTGCAGTCTCCAACTCCTGGGTTCAAGCAATCCCCCCAACTCAGCCAGAGTAGCTGGGACCACAGGTCCACACCACCATGCCTGGCTAAGTGTTGTATTTTTTTGCGGAGATAGGGTTTCATCATGTTGCCCAGGCCGGTCTTGAACTCCTGGGCTCAAGTGATCCTTCCACCTAGGCCTCCCAAAGCCCTGGGATTTCAGGCTTGAGCCACATCTCCTGTGGCAAGGGGGCAATTCTAAAGGGAGACGCTGGAGAGGACCTCACTGAGCAGAGACCACTAGAAGGAAGGGAGCACTGAATGTAGCATCTGGGAGAGGTCCTTCCAGAAAGAGAGTAGCAGGCTCACAGGGCCTCGGGGGCGTGCCCATAGATACAGTGGCCAGAGTAGAGGAAGCAAGAAAAAGAATGGTGGGTAGGCGAGCTGGTCAGAGAGGGCCGCTTGGACAGACGTGATTAAATGGCTTTAGATTTCACCGCGAGCTGGCAGTCACTGGAGAGCTCTGGAAAGAGATGTGACATTGGAAATGATTTTTAAATCACCTCACTCCGCAGACAAGATGGAAGGAGGCCGCAAGGGGATGCAGACAGTACATGCATCGACTGCAGAAAGCTCAGGGGACCCCTGTAGCTCCCCAGACAGGGTGGAAGCAGGACGCTCTGGTGGTCTCAGGCTCTCTGAAGGTAAAGGCAGCTGAAGGTGCGGACAGGATGGGAGTGGAATGTGAAGGGGAAAGGAGCGCCCCGGACGCCTCCGATATCTAGGGTATGAGCCACTGAAGGAATACAGTCACCGTGTGCTGAGAGGGGAAGCCCAGGAGAGGATCAGGACAGTAGTGAGGCGGGGATGGTGGAAATAGGAACTTCAGGAACAGGGTTTTAGGCCGGGTGTGGTGGCTCATGCCTGCAATCCCAGCACTTTGGGAGGCGAGGCGAGAGGATCTTTTGAGGTCAGGGGTTCGAGACCAACCTGGCCAACATGGTGAAACCCCGTCTCTACTAAAAATATAAAAATTAGCTGGGTGTGGTGGCGAGCACCTGTAATCCCAGCTACTCGGGAGGCTGAGGCAGGAGAATCGCTTGAACCCGAGAGACAGAGGTTGCAGTGAGTCAAGATCGCACCATTGCACTCCAGACTGGGTGACAGAATGAGACTCCTCTCAAAACATAATAAAAAACAAAATAAAATGGAAGTGGAAAATGGATTCGCTGGAGAAGGAGACAGGTGAAGCAAAGGGTAAACCAACTGGGAGTCTGCGGCAGTTGTCCAGCCAAAACACCACATGGACTTGGCCAGGTGGATGAAGATGGGGTAAAGCCGGGAGATTTGAGACCCGTTATAGCTATCCAGACTGGGTGAGGAGATTAAAGGAGAATCCAAGACGCACGGAAGTTGTTGGAGTGGGGCTGAGAAAAGATGGCGGCAGCAGGCGGCCCCTGAGAACGGAGAACCCAAGTTCTCTTTGGGTCACGTTGAGTGAAGTTGATGAGGAAGCAGGTACAGAGCATACACATTGATACTTTCAAAAAAAAAAGTTAGCTCTTCTCCCTCCCTCCTCCCTGCATCTACCGGAAGTGACGTGGCGCAGCGGAAGTGACGCATGGCCTAGCGGACGTGACTGCAGCCACGGTGTCGTGCTGTGACGAACGAAGGCTGCATTGTAAACGCCGGAGCGAGGTTCGACCTCCCCCGAATTCGCTGCTGTTCGGAGACCCGCCGGTGAAGACACCATGGCCATGTCTGACCAAGAGGTGAAACCTTCAACTGAGGACTTGGGTGATAAGATAAAAAATGAAGATATTAAAGTCAAGGTCATTGGACAGGATAGCAGCGAGATTCACTTCAAAGTGAAAATGACAACACCTCTCAAGAAACTCAAGGAATCGTACTGTGAGAGACAGGGCGTTCCAGTGAGTTCCCTCAGGTTTCTCTTTGAAGGTCAAAGAATTGCTGATAATCACACTGCAGAGGACCTGGGAATGGAGGAAGACGATGTGATTGAAGTTTATCAGGAACAAATGGGGGGTCATTCAGCAGTTTAGACATTCTTTTTTATTACTATTTTTTCTTTTCGCTCAATCCTTTTTTTTAAAAAATAGTTCTTCTGTGCCGTGATGTTCAAAACAGGCACTCCATCTCTTTAAAACATCTGCTAATTTGAATTCTAGTGCTCATTATTCATTATTGTTTGTTTTCATTATGCTGATTTCTGGTAATCAAGCCTCAGTCCTCTTCATGTTGCCCACTCCTTTTATAAAAATATCGTGTGCCCAGAGAGGCCAGCTTTTTCAGAACTCTGCATTTTCAGGCGGTAAGATCGACCAACGCAACTGTTCATAATGACTTTCCAGTTGGCCCTGATGTTCAAGCACGTGGCTGCTTCACTCCTGAACTGTGACTTTTGGTGGGAGATGGAAGTTTTTTTTTTTTTAGAGAACTGAGCTGTGGAAAAATGACCTTTCCTTAACAACTTGAAGCTACTTTTAAAATTCGAGGGTCTGGACCAAAAGAAAAGAAGCATCATGTTAAGATGATAGATAAGGATGACAGTAACGATTAACTCTAAAGATGGCTTCCATGAAGAAAAAGCATTTGAAGATTTTTTTTTTAATCTTGTCGGAAGATCCCAGAAAAGTTCTATTTTTCATTAGCAATTAATAAAGCTATACATGCAGAAATGAATACAACAGAATACTGCTCTTTTTGATTTTATTTGTACTTTTTGGCCTGGGATAGTGGGTTTTAAATGGACATTGTCTGCACCAGCTTCATTAAAATAAACAATATTTGCAAAAATTGTAAAAGAAAAAAGTAAAATATTACATAAATACAGAATAGTGCAACATTAGGAGTAACCAGCTTGATGGGTCTTCCCAAAGGGGAACCCATCAAAAGTTCCTCTGCACCCCCTTTATCACATCCCCACCAAGAGTAACTACTCCCCGAGTCTTAAGCAATAAACAAGGTTTACTGGCGTTTTTAAACCTATGATCTGAGGTAAGTGAGGGCATTTGCCCAGAATTTTTCAAAAAATTACCTCAGTTGGTTGGGCGCTATGGCTCATGCCAGTATTCCCAGCGCTGTGGGAGGAGATCTTGAGGCCAGGAGTTTTGAGACCAGCCTGGGCAACTTAGTGAAACCCTGTCTCTACAAAAAAATTTTAAAAATTAGCCAGCCATGCTAGCACATGTATGAAGTTTTGGCTACTCGGGAAGCTAAAGGGGGAGAAATGGTTGAGCCCGGGATGTTGAGGCTGCAGTGAGCTAGGATTGCATCACTGCACTTAACTGGGCAAAAGTGAAACCCTGTCTATTAAAAAAAAAGAAAGGTGAGGGGTGGGGAGAGTGGGAAATACCATACGGTTTTTTGTTTTTTTGTCTGTGTGTGTTTTTTACCTTTTAGATTGAATAAGGGTTTTGTTTTGTCGTTTGGCCTCGAGGGGATCCTTGTTTATCCTTACCCTCCTTCCCAACGTGAGGCGCTGATGCAGTGTGTGTAGGGGGGGTCTCGCCTAGCCCCTTGGCGGGCAGGGAGGGAGCCTCACGCAGTCACAGGGGCATCACACCACAGCAACAGGTATAACTGCAAACCCTGCTCCTCTCAGAAGCAAGTTCCCTCCTGCCCACCCCTTCCCTTTTGAGATTCTTTTTTCTGGTCCAATCCCAACAGACCGCTTTTCTTAAGGAATCATAGTTTCTAGTTTTTGCAGTGTTCGTTTTAATGTTTTGATGCAAACACAGCCAACGTCATTCTATTCTGCAAATTCATTTCTCCTTTCTCTCTCAATATCTGTCTCTCAGTCTCTCTCTCTCTCTCTCTCTCTCTCTCTCTCTCTCTCTCTCTCCCCCCGCCCTTCCTCCCTCTGTCTCCCTGTTTCTGTGATTATTTTTTTTGGAAATAATTCCCCTCACTTTATGCCTCCATAAACCTCTGACTCCAGCAGATGGAACAAGGCTGCTATTCCGAGTCAGTGGAATCAATGGGCCGGCTACAAGTGGGAGGTGAGTTTTACACACTGCAGTTTCACCCTAGTAAGTGACGTTGTGACAACAGCCACAGAACAAAAGGTTCACCTTTTTCATCTATTTTTACTTCTCAGGAGGCCCTGGCCCTGCAGTCTTTTAATTAGAGAACTGTTTTCCCCTTCTTGGCTGTGCACACGTTTTCTGTATAATATTAAACAGTAACCTGTGAGTCTCCCACATCCTGGTATGCTCTGGATCACAGACCACATTTTTTAAACACACGTACACACACACACTCATCACAGACCACATTTTTGAAACACACACACACACACACACACACACACACACACACACACACACACACGCATGAGACCAAAATCTGTACTGGCTGACTACTGGCAAGGCAAAGTAAAACCGCATTAAATTTGGCTCGCTTTCTTGCTTGCCTTCTCTTTTTCTTTTTTCCTTCCTTCCTTCCTTTCTTTTCTTTCTTTTTAACAATTTGATTGAGATATGATTTACATGTCATAATATTCATCCATTTTAAATGTGCAATTCAGTGTTTTAAATTTTTTTACTGAGTTGTGTATTGGCTATTTCTTTTTGGAAATAGGGCCACTGGAGAAACATCTTGACCCAAACCCACTCTCCCCACTTTGAAAACAGACCAGTAAATAGCACAGAGCAAATTCTGTTTCACCCCCAAAATAGTTATTATTCATTTCATTATGCCATTAACAGCTTACTTCCTGTGTTTTGATTCTGAGCTGTTCAGAAGCCACATTGCTTAGTTTTGACACTATCAAGAGATTTCTTTTGTGTTACAGGTGTTTTTTATTTATTTGTTTCTTAGTGGTTTAGTTAGGAGTCTTTAGCTCTTTGCTTTATCTGCTGGGCTAATTAGAGAGATTTGAAATGAACTTTTGTGGCATGACAGACTACGTAAATATGTGGTATTCAAAGCTAAGCCTAAGCATTCATAGCATTCTTTTGAAACTAGTGGAAAGGAAGATACTTAGAAACATAAGTAGGGCGCAGAGGCCTAGAACCCTTTCCTAGTATTAAAATCTTATTATATAATTGGGCTTTAACTCTGTGAGTCTCCATTTTCTCATCTGAAGAACAGGAATTAAAATAACCACTTCAGGAGATTAGCCTGAGGATCCAATTCATGTGAAAGCACCTAGAACAAAATCGATTTAAAAAAAAAAAAACTATCAATATTCATTGAATATGAATCTTGAGGAACTTTACTAGTGCTATAAGAATTGTTTGTCAGGGTGCATTAATAAAAGCATAGTGCCTTCTGCTAAATGAGGGTGTACTAGTTTGATTATTCACTCAACAAATAGGACATTACTGCTGCCTGCCAGGCACTATGGAGAGAATAGGGGACAGGAAGACAGTCAGGTGAAGGCAATGTTCACAGTATGGTTGTGCAAATAAATATCTGAATGTAAATTGTGCAAGGATTATAAAAGAAACTTCTGCGATGTGTGCGTGCGTGTGAATCTTTAAAGCAGTTTAAGAGACTGTATTTTGTTGATAAATTTATGCCTATAGGCATAGAAAATTTTTTCTGGAACAACTCATGAGAAATTAGTTACAGAGGCTTCATTTTTATGAAAGGAACTAGAAAAGCACATAGGGGAACATCTTCCACTTTTTATTCTGTACCTTTCTGTAAAATTTTAAGTTTCTAACTCTAAATTTTTTTTTTTTTTTTTTTAGGCAGAGTCTCACTGTGTCACCCAGGCTGGAGCGCAGCGACTTGATCTCAGCTCACTGCAACCTCTGACTCCCAGGTTCAAGCAATTTACCTGCCTCAGCTTCCGGAGTAGCTGGGATTATAGGCATGTGCCACCCACGCCTGGCACATATTTGTATTTTCAGTAGAAACAGGGTTTCACCATGTTGGCCAGGCTGGTCTGGAGCTCTTAAGTGATCTGCCTGCCTCGGCCTCCCAAAGTCCTGGGATTACAGGCGTGCACAGCCACGGCCTAAACTCATGTTTTTGTCATTTGTTTGTTTGGTTAAGTGTCACTGGGCTTCTCTGATCAGCAGGCTGAAAGGCCATTTTTTTTATTTTTCTTCTTAAACTTTTCTCTACTGAAAACAAGACCTGTTACTTAGGATGGATAAATGATTAACTGTTTGAAATATAATTTGTCATGTTAAGCCATTTAAACATTAAACATAACATTATTATACTTAAAAAGACAAAGGTCATTTACAAGAGTGTAAGAATTCATCAGCCTACACCAAACTGTTACTAGCCTACTCTTGCCCAGGTAATACTACTTTTATTCAATAGGTATTTTCTCAGTGCCTGCAGCATACCAGGCATCCTTCTGGGTATTGGTAGATAAAACAAAGCCCTCAGCAAGTCACAGCCTGGATTCTAGTTGGATAAGATAGACGATAAATAAGTGAAACAGATATACAGTAAGTGCAACGCAGAGGGACCGGGGAGGTGGAGGGTGCTTTGTTCATTACACAGAATACCTTTTGGAGTTGCATTCGCTACAAATAGAACAGTCAGGAGACCGGTCTGAAGAGACGCCATCTCAGCAGAGGCTTGCATGAAGGAAGAGAAGCGGGAGCCCTGCAAAGGAAAAACGGTTCTGGCCAGCAGGACCTGGAAAGAGCCTCAAACAGGAGAGCGCAAAACCAGTAAAGCAGAGTGCTGAGCTCAGGACCATCTGTGATGCTGTTCTGTTCGCCTGTACTATGGCTCAAGACAGCTCATAATTCAGAACTTGTTTGTTAAAAAGTAAAAATGAAGGCCCGGCACGGTGGCTCACGCCTATAATCCCAGCACTTTGGGAGGCCGAGGCGGGTGAGGTCAAGAGATCGAGACCATCCTGGTCAACAAGGTGAAACCCCGTCTCTACTAAAAATACAAAAATTAGCTGGGCATGATGGTGTGTGCCTGTAGTCCCAGCTACTCGGGAGGCTGAGGCAGGCGAATTGCTTGAACCCAGGAGGCGGAGGTTGCGGTGAGCCGAGATCATGCCATTGCACTCCAGTCTGGGCAACAACAGCGAAACTCCGTCTCAAAAAAAAAAAAAAAAAAAGTAAAAATGAGACACTCATTACTATTAATATATGGTTGTAGGACTTGGAATATGTGGTTCTGGGCATTGCTTCTTTTTTTCAGATATAGAAGAAAATAGTTGATGTAAACTATACCTACTAAAGGAAGAAATACGTATCTTACATGTCAAAAAGAATTTAACTTTTTATAGCCATATTTATTTACAATCACTACAATAATTTTTAATCTATTATCCTCACAAAACCTCATAAAATATACTTCGTAAACTATTGTAGTACATGCCTGTTTTCATTCCTTGCAAATTATGTAAATAAATGTTACTTCAAGGTCGTAAGGAAAAATACTCAGAGACAAACAAGAAAAGACAGTGAGACACGTTGTTCTCCGCCTACTCTAAGGTGCCCGCCAGTAGGAGGAGCACTACGGTAGGTGAGGAAAACCACACTCTAAAAAGCAAACACCAAAGCCCAGCCTCGGTTCAGTTCCCGGGGCCCTCACCTGAAAATCAAAGGCTGGCTCTTCAGTGATCTCCGTGTCCCGTGACGCATTTTCTTTCCCTTTCCTTTTGTCTATTTTCAGTTCTAACTCTATGAATTCTGACTAAAATAACTGTTTTGTAACCAGTTGTTTTCATTATAACTGGCTGAGCACTAAACTCACCTCTTCTTTCCTCAAGCAGGAGTCTGTGGGCAGATGGCTGTAGTTACTTCCCAACCAGAAGCAATCCCCCCACCTCCCCTTCTTGGAGACATTGGCAACTTTCACACTTTACATATATACGTATATTTTTGTTGTTGTTTTTTGAAACAAGATCTCACTCTGTTGCCCAGGCTGGAGTTCAGTCATGGCTCACTGCAGCCTCGACCTCCCTAGTTCAGGTGATCCTCCCACCTCAGCCTCCTGAGTAGCTGAGGCCACAGGCACTCAGCCACCACCCCCAGCTAATTTTTTTGTAGAGATGGGGTTTTGCCATATTGCCCAGGCTGAGTATTTATATATAATAATATACTATATAATATATAGTATATAGTGTATGTTATATAATATAGTATATAATATAAAATGTACATATACTACATATTAAAATATATATAAAATACTATAGTATAAGCTATAGTATTATCTCTATCATATAAGATATATAATATATATGACATATACCATATTCTATGTATATGAAAATTATATTTGTATCTAAATATATGTTTTTATATATATATATATATATATTTTTTTTTTTTTTTAAGAGAGTCAGGATCTTCCTACATTACCCAGGCTTGACTAGAATTCCTAGGCTTAAAGGAACCTCCTGCCTCAGCTGTCTGAGTAGCTGGGGCTACAGGTGCACCCACTGTGCCCAGCTCTCAATTTTCACATTTTTTATTTTCATGACTATAGAGGAAACAGTCACTGTCACCAGATGCTGGTGAGCACCCTACAATGCTCGGGCCAGCCGCCAACAATAAAGAATGCTGTAGTCCAAAATATCATTAGCACCAAGGATGAGACTCTTGGATATAGAGAAATTGGGACAAATGATGAGGGGCAGAAATGAGTGGGGGACCTTGTTTACTGATGATGTCCATGGGGTACTTCCGGAGTAATAAACAGCAGACAATTTTTGCCTCAATTGATGGTGATTCTCTTCTATTGCTCTTTGTTTTTTCTGAAAACTTGGATGTGTGACTTAAGTAGCCCTCTGGTAGCCCAGGGGCACAACAGGAGAAATGAAAAACGAAGGCAGGTTCAGGCATGCAGCAGGACTGCAAAAGTAACCTTTCTGTTCTAAGACTTGAAAAAGTTTTCACATCCTTGGTGTACTTTATCAGCAGAACATTCATCTGCATATAGCATTCAGAAGCAAACTAAACTTTTTTTTTCCTCTGAGTCTTTTGTTTCCAAATCAATGGGAAACAAAGGATATCCCCACTCCATTCAGACAGCTTCAGTGATTCTCAAATCAACATGGGAGCAGTCGTTGGGCCATTTAAAATATACAGTGATTTTTTTTAAAAAAAAAGCATACTTATTAACCTTGTAAACATTCTGTAAAAGTACAAGAGGAACCTTTATAAAGAATAGCCAAGTGTCCTTTTTGTAGATCAGCCCTTTGTACTTCGAAATGTTCATGTCTATGAAATAGAATTGGACACACGAGCCTAGGATAATGCAATTTCCATGTCTTCTAGTAATTGTTCTGTTAAAACATTATATTTCAGCGTCTTAACACTTAGAAGATTAAGTTACTTCGCCCCAAGATCAGTTCCACTTTAAAAAAGCACTTTCGACCCATATTTAACCAACCGTCAGAGAGGATTCAAAAGAGGGCTAATTGAGCACTGAGTGTTTGAAGCATTCAAATCATGGCCCAGGTTTCTTCTTGAAAACACCAACAGCGCAGCCTGGCAGGAAGCAGGGATTAGACAAGAGAATCCATTGAAACTTGCCTTCCAAACTGGAAGAAAAACTTTCAGTAAGAAAGCGTGAAGTTTGAAATCACTGCATGTTATATTATTCATCTTTCAGACTGCCTCCACCCTTATTGGATGGCATTTTCTCCTCTTACCCCAGCTCTGAGCTGCCACCGTAATTCACCAAGAAACGGACTTTAGCAAGAACGACCCACCCTTCAGAGCAAAGTAGCCACCCTGAGCCTGTTTCTCTTTATCACTCGATTCTGTCCCCACTCTATCTGCACACTATCTCTTCTCTCTATCTAAATGTTTTGTAATTCCCTCTGGTATTCCAAGGCCAATGAAATCACAGCCTCCAGTAAGGGTGCTAAAGCTGAATGCATTCACCGCTAAGCTGTATTTTTAACCCTTTTCACCCCCCAATTTCAATATTCTCAGACCTCAACAGAATCAAGTTATGGGAAGGCAAGCTGGAAAACCTCACGGGAGATTTCATGAAGAAGAGAGAAGCCCGGGTGTTTATCATTTAAATTCTTGTCCTCCTCTCCCTTACCACCCCCAACGATAGAAGCAGCAGGAAACTAACAGTGATAATCAATAATCTAATAAGCTCAGCCAGCCTCAAGTTCTGTTGTTGTTATTTTTTTCCTTAAACAAAACAAAAACAGGCATTCTGCCCAGAGCAGAGAGAGAGAGAACCTCTCTCCTAAAATCCCAGAAGTTTGCTGCCAGTGATTCAGTACATACCTGACAAAAAAAAAAAAAATGTTGCTTAACTGGTTTGGTTGTTTCAGCTGGCTACTACCAAGAGAAGTAAACAGAACCTTATCACTTCAGTTAAGTCTGGCTTGAGCATTATTTTCAAGTAAATATTTATAATTTCAGTGCTATTCCATTGCTAGCACTTCTGTCCTTGGATTAGATTGACTGAAACATGTTCTTGGATTAGCCCGACTCCATAGCAACAGGCCAGTAGAGGCTGCACCCTCACCGCCTGTCCTTTCTGTGGCGGAGGAGGAGGTATTTGGTGACACTCGCCATCAGGACTGACTGTGCAGCTCTCTTGCCAGATAGCAGCTGAATTGAGGAACATTCTTCCTTTGCCATTTGGGCTCTAGTCGATCAGGATTTTTGCTGATCACTTTGCACATCTCAATGAATTTGACACACGGACATTTTTTCTCTCTCTCTCTTCATTCAGGAAGTGGAGAGCCCAGCCTGGAGATTCTCTGCTCCGATGATATAAACAAATTGTAGAGGAAGTCAAGTCAAACTTTCCCTTGCTGCTTTTGTTCTCCCAACTAGCAATTCAGAAAACAGAGCCAACTTTTCTTGGATGCCTTTTAAGATTGCTCTTTAACAGGAATGGCAGAAACCCTCTTGTTTTATTTTGTATCTGTAAAAACAAAGATTCTCCTAAACATATTTTGTTTTCAAAAAAGCAGAAATGCCCTAGAAATTAAAAAAAAAAAAAAATGCTGTGTTCTGAGACTTTTCAAACCAAATTGCTCCTTTGTCATTACACAGTTACCTAATTGTTTTTCTTTCTTCCACAGATCTCCAGGCTAAAATACAAACAAGAAAGCAATACCGATCTTTGCGTGGATAATAGCTAAACCTGAATAGAAGCTTCCAGGACCCTAATACACAGCCAAGGAAAGCTAACAGTCATGATTCAATAAAGTTGCCGGTGTAAGGCATGCGCCAGACAGAAAGGAGACACCATGTCTGTAATCTACAGACACTGCTTTAAACATCACATATAATTAAGTCCTTCCCATGGTGGTGGCTACTTGAAGCTTTATCATTAACTTGTAAGATTTCATCTCTGGGTTTCACCAATGGTTCTGAGAACGAACATTTTCAAACGAGAGGCACCTGCTAATCCAGGAGATGTTCTCACCACACCTATTCTCGTCCTCTAGTGAAAGAAGCTCTATGTTAAATGACTGAAGGAAAACAGAAGGGGACATGTAACAAAGTGTATGTAGCAGCGGCCCTGGGTGGCTTCCCATGCTGAGTGTTCTATTACATTAATCCTGGTGCAAAAAATAAAAAGATGCGACAGCCCCTTGGATGTCAATGTGCCTGCGTTGTTTGTCCTCCGTCGGCCCTCTCTGCACACGGGTGGGTAGCCAGGCTTCAGCACAGCCCTATTCTCTCATGAAACATATCAGTTCAAATACAGGCTCAAACTGCTTGCTGAGTTTCTGTGTTCTCCTCTGTAAAATGGGATATATGGTGGTTGTGTCCTATCGGTTAGAAATAATGTGGGTTAGCTGGGCATGGTGGCGCGTGCCTGTAATCCTAGCTACTCAGGAGGCTGAGGCAGGAGAATTGCCTGAACCCAGAAGGCGGAGGTTGCGGTGAGCCGAGATCGCGCCATTGCACTCCAGCCTGGGTAACGAGCGAAACTCCGTCTCAAAAAAAAAAAAAAAAAAAAGAAATAATGTGGGTATAGATACAGAGATAGTTCTTGTTTAATCCAGTGTGTGGCCCCTGTTAGGTTCTCAATAAAAAAAATTGTTGTGGTTATTAAAATTCATAACACTATGTGAGTTCTCCTGGGTCAGGAAGAACTGGCATTGCTAGAAGCTCAACCTTACAGCATCTGCAGTGATTTCTGTCAGAATACTTTTCCTCAGTCATGATTTTCTCCTCCCTCTTCATCCATAAATACACATATACTGTAGATATTTATAGACTAATAGGTATTTCAAATCCTTTATGCAAGTTGTAATTGACTGTGTAATTACTGAATAAACAGTGGATGAAAAGATAATGGTAGGTTCTGAAAGCCAGCTTTAATTCACATTTTATTTTATATTCATTTATTTGCTTGTCTACATTCTCCTCTCTGTTGATTATTTTCCAGGCATGCTTTTCCCTCAAGCAATGATCAGGCTGAGGAAGTAATTTCATTTATATTGCAAGAGACAGAGAAACAAACAGAAAACCCAGAGGCAGCGACTTACCTGGAGTGCTACGGAGTGTGTGTCTTGGTAGTAGAAGCTGTGTGCACCTCCACACCCCAGAACTGTTTTTGAAGCTTTGATGTAGAAACACAGAATACCTACAGTGACCCTAAGTTTCTGTAAAACGAATATAGCATTTACTGATGCAATTGCCATATATTTATAGAATTCAACAATTGTCTTCCACCAGCTTTATCAAATAGCACAGGATAGAAACAGAAACAGCTCTGATTTGCCCATTACGCAGACGAAGCACATGCTTCAAGGACCAGAAAAGCAGAGATAACACGGTACTCCGGCCCTACTGGCCAAATGACACAAGAAAATTCAGGAAAGTTCATTTAAATTTCAACATACAGATTTTTTTGTCCCTTTGAAAGATATACTTTTGTTGCCGGGCACAGTGGCTCAAGCCTGTAATCCCAGCACTTTGGGAGGCCGAGGTAGGTCGATCATGAGGTCAGGAGTTTGAGACCAGCCTGGCCAAGATGGTGAAACCCCGTCTCTACTAAAAATACAAAATTTAGCCGGGTGTGGTGGTGGGCGTCTGTAATCCCAGCTACTCGGGAGGCTGAGGCAGGAGAATTGCTTGAATCCAGGACCGGGAGATTGCAGTGAGCCGAGAGCACGCCACTGCACTTCAGCCTGGGCAACAAGAGCGAAACTCTGTCTCAAAAAAAAAAAAAGAAAACATACTTTTACATGTTAGTTTTAATTTTTATTTGGGTACAGGTCTTGAGATAGTTTGATTTTGGGTTCAGGAATTTTTTACTCTTCCCCACTTTGGAGGAATATCCTTCCCTGACTTAAGGATGTTGGACTTGGCCCTTTGACTGCTGGCCAGTAAGATGTTGGCAAGCGTGATGCCAGCAAAGCCACTGTGGATTTGCACGGTGGGCCTGGCTCTCCTGCACTTCTGACATCGCCTTGATATGCACATGTCTGTGTCCTAGGAAGACGGAAGCCAACTGGAGCAAACTTGGACGCAGCCGGCAACTTGAAGCCCAGCCCAGACCCCCTGCTGTAGGTCATCTAACCACCAGCTAACTTGCAAATGTTTATGTGAGAATAAATAATTACCATTTTAAGCCACTGAGTCTTGGAGTGATTTTTTGCATTATTGTGGCGTGAATGTAGGCCTCATGATATTTATAGGTTTTAGTCTGTCCATGGCATACTAATACTATCCTGGGGGAGTCGGGGGCGGGGGGATTTAATTTTTAAAAAATTCAAACTCTTGCATTACTGATTCAACTTTGTTTTGTAAATCAAGGGTAATCATTGTCTTTCATGTGCTAAATGAAATTAGAGGCTCGTAATGTTTCAGTACAGCAGCATGTGATTAAAGAGAAGAAAGGTGCGAGATATTTATTTATTCATCTAGATGAAGACTTCATTCCACAAATGCTTCATTCAGAAAAAATGTTGCACTTGTTAAAGGGATACTCATTCAGGTCTTTTGTACAAGACCTTGAAGATAAAGTTTTGAGTATTAATAACTCTTATCAAGTGCTTGTGATGAGCAGGTATTGTTCTTACTGATGTGTCTGCATCAACTCATTTAACCTTCAGAACTTAATGCAGTAGTTACTATGATTGCACCCATTTTACAGACAAGAAAACTGAGAAGCCGAGAGGTGAAGTGACTTACCCAAGCTACCATGACTTACAAGTAACAGAGCTGGGATTCAATTCCAGGCCATCTGATTTCAAAGCCCACATTTTTTACCTATCGTGATAAGACATGCGTAGTTTCTATTGACAGGGAGTTTACAAGCTTTAAACAAGAAGACTCAATCATTACAATCCATGGGCAGGACTCTCATGGAAAAGAGCAGGAAACTATCGTGAAGAGTAAAACAGGGAGGGCCGGGCGCAGTGGCTTACGCCTATAATACCAGCACTTTGGGAGGCCAAGGCTGGTGGATCACTTGAGGTCAGGAGTTCAAGACCAGCCTGGCCAACGTGGTAAAACCCCATCACTACCAAAAATACAGAAATTATCCCGGCATGACAATGGGTGCCTGTAATCCCAGCTTCTCAGGAGGCTGAGGCAGGAGAATCACTAGAACCTGGGAGATGGAGGTTGCAGTGAGCCAAGATCACGCCACTGCACTCCAGCCAGGGCAATAGATTCTGTCTCAAAAAATAAATAAATAACAGGGAGGACCTGTTTTAGACCGGTGTTCAGAGAAGCATCTCCCCATTAGGTGACATTGTCTGAAGAATAAACGGGATCAGATGGAAAAATGGCTAGGAGAGAGAAGAATGTTCCAGGCAGAAGAATAGAAGGGAGGTGAATTTTGAGACAGCCTACAGGTTGCTAGGTACTCAGGACTGAAAATTGACCATGGCTTCAGTGAGGCTTAGGAGGTGTGTATGTCTTTGACATTGTCATAGGAGGGTAGTTGGTCAGCAAATTTTTTGTAGAGAGCCAAATAGCAAATTCTTTAGGTTTTATAGGCCCTGTAGCCTCGGTTGCAATTACTGACCTCTGACATTGTCACACAAAACCTTCCGCACAGAATGAGCGTAGCCATGTTCCAATAAAACTGTATATGCAGACCCTGAAATTCACCTTTTAGTGTTGCAGTTCCACAAACAGCAAGCATGTGTGTGAGAACACACAGGATAGTCACAGTTAGTGCATTTCCAACAAATCCAGTGGCCTCTGATGATTTTTTGTTTTTTTTTTCTTTTTTTTTGAGACAAAGTCTCACTCTGTCCCCCATGCTGGAGTACAGTGGCATGATCTCAGCTCACTGCAACCTCCTCCTCCAGGGTTTAAGCCTTGGCTTCTCAAATAGCTGAGGTTATAGGTGTGTGCCACCACACCTGGCTAATATTTGTGTTATGAGTAGAGATGGGGTTTCACCATGTTGCCCAGGCTGAACTCCAACTTCTGATCTCAGCTGACCTATCTGCCACAGCTTCCCAAAGTGCTGGGACTACAGGTGGGATCCACTTGCCCAGCCACCTCTCATGATATTTGAAGCACCTTGACCTTCAACTCTCAGTGAATTCTCTGTTGAAACAGAACATAGATCACACCATTAAGAACAAGATAGACTTTTGAATAAAAGTAATGAGTAAACTATTGGGTTATCTAATCATCCTATTATTCAAGAGGAGTAAATGATAGAATCACCCAGGAAAATGAAGTAAACTTCTTGTTGACTTGACATGATGTATTCGAATGGATAAAGATAACATAAAACGCATGCTCCATCTTTACAAAGAGGACAGAAACAACAGGCCTGGTGAATGAGTGTCATCCTTCAAAGAGCATTTAAGATTAATTGTTGCCCAAAAAAACTTGAATTGCCCTGAAATCTTAGAGATCATGTAAAAAAGAAATATGTTTTCTCAAATTTAACACAATAATCCTAAAATTTTACAACACCTGACCAGTAATAAGTGGTGAAGCCAAAAGAAAATTTTCAAAACTGACAATAATAATTTAATTTTTTTAAATCAATCATGCCAGGCACAGTGGCTCACACCTGCAATTCCAACACTTTGGGAGGCTGAGGCAGGAGGATCACTTGAGGCCAGGAGTTTAGGACCAGCATGGGAAATATAGCAAGACCTCATCTCTACAAAAATAAAAAAAAAATTAATTGGTCAGGTGTGGTGGCTGATACTGGTGGTCCTAGCTACTCTAGACGCTGGGACAGGAAGGTCACCTGAGCCCAGGAGTTTGATGATGCAGTTAGCATATGATCACTCCATGGCCTTCCAGCCTGGGCAACAGAGTGAGACCCTGTCTCTAGAGTTAAATTAAATTACATTAAATTTAAAATTCTGATGGATCATGATGGAGAAAAGACTAAATCTTCTTTTTCATAGTCTCTCTCCATAAAATAATAATTCAGTATTGTTAAAAGGTAATTAAAGAGTATTACAGCTAAGACATATAGGACAAAAGTGTCATAGCGAGTGCCGGTAATCCCAGCTACTTGGGAGGCTGAGGCAGGAGAATGGCTTGAACCCAGGAGGCGGAGGTTACAGTGAGCCGAGATCGTGCCACTGCACTCCAGCCTGGGCAACAGAGTGAGACTGTTTAAAAAAAAAAAAAAAAAAAAGCAGTTAGTTAATTTTTAAAAGATGCTATTTTGGGGGATTTTATGATATTAGTGATATTTGTCAGATTTAAAATTTTTACAATTTTTTGTACTATCTTCTTTTATTCTAAATAAACATTAACTTATCCTAAGTAATTTTGTGTTCTTTTTCTTTCAGGAAGCCCCCAGTTGTATAAGGTTCAAGACCTAAAAACAGGAACTACTTCTGTTAAAGCAATTTAGATGCTAGAAATCATTGCACAAAAAAGATGGAGGTGGTTTTAAAATATGTCCACAAATTCTCTGGCACTCCCATCTCCAAAAGGCAGAAGTTATTTCCCTTCCCCTGGAGTGTAGGCTGGGTCCAGGGACTTGTTTCTAAGGAATAAAAGGTTGTGTGGGTGGCATTGGATGATTTCCAAGACTAATCATAAAAGGCACTGGAGTTTGCTCCTTGCTGTTCTTCTCAGGAAGCCAGCTGCTGTATCATGAGAACTCAAGCCACCCTATAGAAAGGTCTGCATGGTGAGGAACCGAGGCCTCCAACCAACAGCCACGTGTGTGAGCCAGCTCAGAAGCATATTGTCCAACTCCAGGCAAGTCTTTGAGTGCCTCTAGCCCAGACCAACAACTTGACTGCATCATAACTATTCACGAGACGCCGTGAGCCAGAAGCATCCATCTAAACTGCTGTAGGATGGCTGACCTCGGAAACAGTGAGATAAGAAATGTTCATTATTTTTCCAGCTGGCCCTTGAGGCAATCTTTCATTTTAATAAAGAGAAAAAAAACAATTTTTAAAAGTTCATATTTTAAGCGGGTAAATTTAGGGATAATTTGTTACACAGCAACAGATAATTAATATACTGACAAAAGTTCCAGCTTTATGGCTCTTATATTCTGAAGATTATTAAATAGAAAATCAATAAATGGCTTTTGAGAATGGTGAACAATAAAATCTTTAAGAAAGGCACCAAATTATCCTACCACTTGATCCAGCAATCCCACTACTGGGTATCTACCCTGAGGAAAAGAAGTCATTATATTAAAAAGATACTTGCACACACGTTTATAGCAGCACAATTCGCAATCGCAAAAATGTGGAACCAACGAAATGCCCATTAATTAATGAGTGGATAAAGAAACTGTGGGGTGTGTGTGTGTGTGTGTGTGTGTGTGTATATATATATAATGGAATACTATTCAGTCATAAAAGGAAATGAATTAATGGCATTCGCAGCAACCTGGATGGGATTGGAGACTATTATTCTAAGTGAAGTGACTCAGGAATGAAAAACCAAGCATTGTATGTTCTCACTCGTAAGTGGGAGCTAAGCTATGAGGATGCAAAGGCATAAGAATGACATAATGGATTTGGGAGACTCAAGGGGAAGAGGGTGAGGGATAAAGGACTACAAACTGGGTTCAGTGTATCCTGCTCGGGTGACAAGTGCACCAAATCTCACAAACCACCACTAAAGAACTTACTCGTGTAACCAAAACCACCTGTTACCCCAAAAAACCTATGGAAATAAAAAAATAATTTTAATGAAATATATCAAATTTTCATTACGTATGAATTCATTTATCAAATATTTATTGAGCAGCACCTTATGTTTATCTACTTTTAGGCACTGAGCTGGGCTAATCGACAAGAAAAACATAAACCCTCCCCTCATGGGGCATCCAGTTTGGCCTGCATCAGGTTTCTGCCCTGCATCTAACACTCACTCCCTGTAAAACACTGGAATCGGGGCTCAGTTCCCCTCTTCCAGTTCAAACATCCCCTGATTATGAAAATGCCAGTCATTGCGAGTATGAATGAAGTGCTTGTACAATCCGGCGCAGTGCCAAGCACTTTGTATGCGTTATCTCCGTTCATCCTCACGGCAGTTCCCCATTCCTCAGCCACTTCCACTCTGGAGCCCTTCCCAGGCCCCCTTGTGACTTGGCCTTTATGGCACATTTAGGGCCAGGGAAGCCGGAACAGAAGATTGCTGGGAAGTTTCTGAGCAGGTTTGCTGTCTTGCAAATGATAAGATGTCCATGGTTATACTTGTTTGTCTTTTCCCTGTCATAAAAGTGAACTGGGTTAGGCATCCTGTGACCTTAAGAAAAAGCTCAGGGAACCACAAAGCATGGACATTCTGGAGCTATTGAAGCACAGTAACTGCTACCTCTGCACCCTTTTAAGTGAGGAAAAATTGTACCTCTTTGTTTCTGTCTCTGTTGGCTTTTTGTTTTGGTGGTTACAACTTACAGCTGAAGTATTCCCAACTTATCTAATGAAATTGAGGCAGAGAACTATTAGATAATCAATATCACAAAGTCAATGAATTGAGTGATCAGAAATTAAAACCTGGTCTTATTGACCCCCAAATCTACACTCTCAGTCATGGTATAATATTGTCATTACGGTTTCCACAAGTAAGCAGAAAACACACACACACACACACACACACACACACACACACAAACACACACACACACCAAAAAAAAAAAACTACATCAAACATATTTATCTAGTTTCCTTGATATGATCCAAATACAGTAACAAGGCTTTTTGATGTTATCTCAAACTATAGGATATTAAATTTTCATTCCAATTTTAACAAGTACTTAATTGGACATTTCTGGGGAGTCCTAGGAAGCAAGGAAACTCATCAATATTGATGATGTTGTTGGAAACATGGTAACTATGGCTATGTCTTTTAGAAGAGCTCATTAAATAGAGATAAATTCTACTTCTTGAGTGTCCTTCCAACAAAGTATTTATGGAGCACCTACAGTGTCCCTGGTAATTTATTTCTCTCATATTACTTAGTCTCTCTATTAGCCAGCAAATTGAGCTCGTGCGCCCCATTTGAGAGATGGGAAAACTGCAGCCCAGAGAGGTTAAGTAGCTTTCCCAGGATGGTCCAGCTTGTGGTGGAATCACAATTGAACTCAGTTCACTTCAGTAGTTCAGAGCCTGGGCCATTGCATGTTATAGGGAGAGAGTGGTAAAATGTTCCCACACATGATACAAATATGTGACAGTAGAATAAGTTGATATTAGATATGACAAGAGCTATGACAGTTTACACATGAGTGAATAAAGTTTGGGTAATGCTCTGGTGACAGTTATTGGAGCAAAAGAAATATGAATCAGTTCCTGCTCCAGCACCGCCTAGCTGTGGCCTCACTTAGGCAAGTTTCATAATCACCCTGAGCCTCAATTTCTTCCTCTGTAAAATGGGGACAATACTAATATCAATCTCGCAGGGTTATTCCGAGGATTCAATGGGACAAGGCTATCCAACCCTTTAAAAATATTAACAGTTATCCATTTAATATTTTTCCACACTTCAAAACTGCCTAATCCCGTTTTTCTTACCCCGTCTCTTCCAGTTTCTTCAAAAGCGATTACAGGAGCTTACTAGAGTCACCATCCATCAAATGATGCTCCAACCGATGCCTAATCTCCATCGGCCAGAATACCGTTATACCCCTCTCCAGACAGCCTAAACTCCTACCCTCACCCCTTCACCGCCCCGAAGTCAGCAGGAAGTAGCCAGAAGGACAGCCGCCACCCCTTTTTCCTCTTTAAGGAGTTGGGAATGTCTGGTAGAGGACTTTTTGGCCCCGTTCCCCAGCCATGTGGAAAGGACCTAATTCCCGATAAGGAAATCCCTTCCTCCCCCACAGGGAGGGTCCCTGATCTCACTCTATCCTGGCCCGGCCCAAGACCAGCAACCTTCCCGCCCAGCGGCCCACTGAACCAATCACCACCCGCACCACCAGCTCTCCTACCGCCCCAGTCCCTTTGTCCCTATAAAGTCGACCAAACAAAGAAAGCGCGCGCGATTCCTCCCTTCCCGCTTGAGTCGCCCGGAGATCCCAATAAAGTCGGTACCGGTCACCACGCGTCCTGCCTCGAGTCTATTGAGCGCCTGCCTCCGCGGGTCGGGGTCCCACAGCCGGGGTCGCACAAAAACCACCTTTGCAAAAATTACAACTGAGAAAACGATGTCAGTGAAAGAGATCTGACCTACCTGACTCCATCTTGCTTCTGACCTCCAAGCTGTCCTTGGTATAGGCCAAACTAACTTTGGGAGGAACTTAGTCAACAGTTTAACTTTGAAAGAAAGACCGTAACAGCCTTTCCTAATACAAACCCTCTTCCTGACTGGGGACTACACAGCCTTTGCAGGGCTAAGAAATTAGCCACAAAATTAGAAATTATGGCTTAGAAGTCATGCGGCTGGAGGATGCAAGATTCTGAACCTCCCCAAATTGCTCCTGCGGATAACATTGCTATTGTAAAACCAAAGATCAGTGCTTGAGATATTTT